TTAGATTGAGAAAATTGGCACTTTTATAATACTCGGTTTTCTTATTTAAAAAACAATTTTTTTCCTCCATGGATTCAAGCATTCTCTTAGGTCTCTTAGTAGCAGTGTATGTTTGCTTCACATAGGCCTGGCCATTTTAATAGCTTTTTCTAGATACTTTAATTTTAAAATTTTTGCTGTGAATGGAATTATTTTCTTCTACAGTATTTTCCAATTGTTAATTGTTTTTAAACTATTGACTTTTGTTTATTTATTTTATTTCCAGACACTTTAATGAGCACTCATATTTCTTTTCTTATCATCTCTTGGTTGATTTTAGCCTTCAAAAGTTTTACCAAGTGGTACCCAAGAGGCTAAAGAAGTAACTATTAACTCACTCACTGTAAGACATGACTTGAGACCATCAGAGAATGGAGTGTAAAATAGGAGAGTTTATGGAATATAATTTGTACATCCAGGAAAGACCATATATGGGCCAACCCCATGTCACTGAAATGTAACGTAAGTCAGACTAAGTGTATTAGAATGAATAAGCATGCTGTTCTTATGAGATTATTTACTATTCCGAGATGTCCTTGGTACTCCGTCTCTCAGGATTAATCTTTGTGAATTCTATGTTATTTATGTGAGCTGCAGAAAGGCTGGATTTAATTAAGCCCAAACATCTAGCTTCCTCTTTGAGTAAGAAAAATATGAAAGATGGAAGGGAAAACTGAACTGACTTCCTCAAGAATAGTCACCAGGTTGTGAATTCCAGGCTTGCTAATCTTTTTGTATAACCCACTAATGAAATGTAACTTCTTTTCTTGTGAGTAATCCTATTTCCTCTTTCCACCAAACACCTATTCCTACTACCCAGCATCCAGACCCCCTAGTTAAATAGGTGAAAAATGGTGTGACATTGCCATCTGGTGGCTACCTGGGGAACTGTATGAACTAATCTCTTCCTGTTGGACCTCCAGCCTGGGTTGGTAACTTGGAAACCAGATCCCAGCTTGGAGAAAAGCAGTTTACGTGTATAGCTACAGGCAAAGAGAGAAGATAATCAAAGTCATGTCCTGACAAAGGCTGCCTGGGGGAGGTGGGAGCCCAAATCTGCATCCGCAGGAGTTGATGGACAGCAAGGACCAGGTCCAAAAAGAGATGTTTGCAAAGGAGTTCCAGACTGTGAGAGAACTCCTGAACTAAAGCAAAGAATGGGAAATTTTTTTTTTTTTCCTTAATGGACCATCTGCATTCAGCCTTGGGGGAGGGATCAGCTTAATTGTGGTCAGTTCTAACACCTTTCTTCAGGGGTTTCCTCAGCTACTTTTTTTATTATTATTATTATTATTATTATTATTTTCTTAAATTTTTTTTCATTGTTTAAAATTCAGATAATTTCAAATAATTCCCCAAA